TTTTTTTAACACTTATATAAGGTTATGTATCAAATATTACAAACTTTTTGATCAGTGGAAGTGTTATAATGTGTCATATATACATACATATATACACACACACACACACAAACTTTTTCGGCAATACTGTTGTTCGAACTCAAGGCCCTCCTCCATTATCAGACAGAACTACTACCACTTGAGTTGTACACCCTTTTTTTCCCTGAACTTTTTAAGGTTAAGTTACAGAATCGTGTCCCTCCTAAGACTCTTAGTGTATTTTTGCTAATAATAGGTATTTTCTCTTATGTAACAGTACAGATATCCATTTAACACTGATACAGTACTCATCTCGCAGTTACATTCTAATCATAAATTGATCAAGTACTTCGTGTAGTTACTATATCTTCAACTTATTTTAATCATGACTATTTCCCTAGTTTTTTTCTTTTATGGTTTTGACATTAAAAATACAGCCCATCCCTTTTTAAATTTTTATTTATTTATTGTGGTAGAATATTTCTCATTGTAGGGTGTCTGGTATTTCCATGTAATTAGGTTCAAGTTAGGCTTTCTTGGGTAGAATACTGCAGAAGTCATGGCCTTCTCACCATGTCACCTTTGAAGGTATATGTAATGCCCATCCATTCCTGATTGGTGATATTAATTCTGATTACTTGGTCAAGGTGTTTTCTGAATTTTTTTTCCTATCATATAATTAATACCTTTTCTCCCTTCCATGAAACTGACTAGCAGCCTGGGGAGCATTTGAAGATCTTGCAAATATCCTGTTCTTCCTCAAAGTTTCCTCCTTATTTAAGCATCCTTTGAAGAGTCTTCATTAGTCTCATCTCTGGTAGTTTATGATTAGTTTCCAACTCTAGCACTCCTGCCATATTTGGCCCTTATGAAGAGGAGCCTTCCCATACTCACCCTTACTTATGTGTTATTAGTATGGGATCAAGAATTCCTTTTTTTTTGCTTTTTGGTAAAAAATGGTGTTTTGTGCTTAAATTATCTCAGATTTGGCCAGTGTAAGCTCCTTCAAACTGGTTCCTGTATTTTTGTGTTATGCTCCCTTCATTTCTCTTGAGTACTTCCTTATTTTTTAGTATAATATAATGCCAGTATTCTCTTACATTTATTGTGCCCCAACCTTGGAGTCCAAGGACCCCTGATTCTTTTAGTGGGGAATAGTATTAGGGACCAAGATCTAGGTACACATAGTAGACACTTTGCTGCTTGACCTTTTCAGTGGGAAGAACAAGGAAATGTATATACATATAAACATGCATTATGTTTTACATATAATATATATGTAGCAATTTGAAAAATGAAGACCACAGACACATGTTTAAGTTAATGAAACAAACAAGGTACTAGTGGCTCACCCCTATAATCCTGGCTACTCAGGAAACAGAGCAGGAGGATCAAGATTTGAGGCCACCATGGGAAAGTAGTTTTCAAGACCATATCTTGAAAATACCCAATACACAAAAGGGTTGGTAGAGTGGCTCAAGTAGTAAGAGTACCTGCCTAGCAAGCATGAGACCCTGAGTTCAAACTCCAGTACTGCCATAAGTTAATGAAACTGTTGAATCGAGGCTGTGGTAATAACAGATGCTGTGACATCACTGAGTACATTTTCATTGAACAGTTATGTATTGCATGATATAGAAAGTTACATATTGGAGATTCTGTGATGAACAAGATAGAGAAGGTTCCTATCCTACCGCCTGGTGGAAAGGACAGCTAATTGTACAAGTAGTTTCAGTGTAATATGATAGGCACCTTTCTACTTGGAATTGAATATGTATGTAGGCATTAGAGGAAGATGGGACAACCTGGAAGAAGTGATCTGTTCCAAGTAGAGAACTCGGGTAGGGATCGTGTAGAAGGAGTGAGAATGAGCTTTTGTCTGGAGAAAGAATCCAGATGAGGCTGTGCACCATCAGTGGGCAATTTCAGTGACTGTTAGAAATGCCTAGGAATTTCAGTGATATGATTCATGTGAATCTATTTTATTTATTTAGCAATGAAAAGTTTTATGGGAGCCGTATGAACTGTGTCAGTAACTTTGGTCTTCATAATTAGCACAGTGTCGGTGCTCATTAGCATGCTTTTATGAAGTTAAGCTTGTACAAGACGTGGTCTGAGCAACTGCCCAGGTTGAATCCTGAGTTACTTGGAATGACTCTCTGAGCCTTGGTTTCCTGACCTATAAAATTGAGGTAATACATATTATGCCACAGGGGGGTTGTTGAAAAGAAGATTGAGATAATTCATTTGCTTAGTACAGGGTCTAATACATAATAAATGCTCATTACATTCTATGGGTTTATTTTATAGAGTAGTTTTATCAAAAAGGAAATTAGTTATTTCAGCATACCTAATTTTTTTTGTGGTACTGAGATTTGAATTCAAGGCTTGGAGATTGCAAAACAGGGTCTCGACTGTTTGAGCCAATCTCTAGCCCTTTTTGCTCTCTTTTTGTTTTGTTTGGTTGGGCTGGGGTTTGAACTCAGATACACGTGTGCCACATCTCCAATCCTTTTTGCTCTGGTTATTTTGGAGATTGGAGTCTTTCAACCTATTTGCATGGGCTGGTCTTGAACTCAGATCCTCCCAATCTCAGCCTCCCAAATGCAGGATTATAGGTATGAGCCCAAATGCTGAAATTAATGGTATTTGCCACTATGCCTCCTTCTTTCCATTCTTACCTACCTTCAATCCTTATTTGTTTTCTTGTGTTTCCAATTTCTGAAACATACATAATTGTTTTATTTAGTACTTAGCAAGTCTCTATCACTGAACTACATACTAGCCCTTCCTTTAGTACTTAAGGTTATAGTTTTATCCAGACATTTCTTTTTCAAATATTAAAACCTTTACTATTTGAAACTCTTTTTAAGAGGTGAAATTTCATTATGGTTTGGCTATAAAATTATTAGAGAATGAGGCACTTAAAGTTGTATGCTCTCCAAAGAGGTTTATACTGACAGGCTGGAATTAGGTACACCACAGATGGCTCCAACACATCTTTCTTGAGTGTAGTCATCTGTGACTTTAGTTCTAGATTTGAATCCTGAGCCCAGTAGACAACGTGGTTCTAAAGGTATGGCATTATTAGAACAAACTTTGGGGGAACTGAAGAATCCTGTTTTTTCTCTTAGGCATTATGAAACTTTATACTGACTTTGAGATTGTGATTGAGAGGTAACAACTCTTCTACTTCCATATCCTAGACACCTACAATTTCTTTTTTTTATAGTACTGAAGGTCAGAACCAAGGCCTTGTTTATGCTAGTAGGTATATATATCTGTAGCCAAGACTTCATTGGGGTTGGGCAGTGCTGAGGATTAGGCTCAGGGTCTCATATATGCTAGGTAAATGTTCTACTGTGGAACTACACCTGAGCCCCAAGACATTTTAGATAATCTCAGAAGGTAAAGAAATGAGAGGTAGTCCATTATTGAGGGAAACATAGAAGCTCTATACTGTAGGCAACAAAATTTCTTACCAGCTCTAGTCTCATTATTTTATCAACTAGCTCTAATAAGAATTAATACTTTATACTTTGTAGTATCATCCCTCCAGCTAACAACGAGTTAATTATGTCTAAAAGAATTTTTTGAAGGTTTTTGTGTGTGTGTGTTTTTAAGCCTTCAAATGCAATATTTCCCTACTGCGTTATAAAATTTGGGTGTTACACTAGTGAAGATTAACAGCTGGGTCAAAGCTAAGGTTTTTCTTGTTCTACTCTTTCACAACAATAATAATTAGCAGACCATTTAATACAGGTTGTAAGATGTAACTAACAGCATTGTCACTGGACCATTTTCACAGTTCTGGCTGCTCTCTTATTCTGACCATCTGGAACCTGTCTTCTGTGACTGGGGTTCTAGGTAGAAAGGATATCATGTGGGAGATGGAAGGTCATGCTACTTACGGTTTAGTTATTTCTATAATGGTAGTTTTAAAGCGCAAGAGATGTTTCTTTTGGCAGTTAGCTCGGCATAGAAAAATAAAAATATTAGGTATAATTACTAAGTTTCACTGTATTTGGCCTTTTATTAAATAATATGTTGAATTCCATTTGAAATGGAATTTGAAAAATGAGGCTCTAAAACCAGTAAGCTAGGTTCCAAATTCTTTGACTTCTTTTTTTGTCTTTTAAAAGAGTCAGTAGTAAAATGAACTTTGGTGCAAAATGTTTAACTAATGGTTTCCTAACATCACACACTGATAGTTCTAGACCAGAATTTATGTGCTATAAACAAAACTAAATCTGGTTATTTTTTGGTGGGGAGTGGAAATGCCTCTCTAGCAGCAGAAACATCCTTACCTCTTTCATTTCATAGTTCTGGTTAACCTTGTCCTTATCCTGTGAGGATCAGAAATTAAACAGTGTACAAACAGCTTTCTAAAATATTTTCAGCTAAATGTCAATATTGTCAGTTTTCTCAGGCTTTCAGTTCTTGAGATGAGAATGAGAAGACCTTAAAAAAAATTCCCCCAAGTCTGTAAAGGGTAGTTTCTAGGCCTAAATGGTTTGATACAGTAGTAAAGTTAATAGCAGTTGCTGCTTGTACTGTTGACATTGTCTTTTTTTTTTTTTGGTGGTACTGGGGCTTGAACTCCAGGCCTTTGCCTTGAGCCACTCCACCATCCCTATTTTTGTGAAGGGTTTTTTGAGATAGGGTCCTGTGAACTATTTGTCCAGTCTGGTTTCAAACCACAATCCTCCTGATCTCTGCCTCCTGAGTAGCTGAGCCACTGGTGCCCAGCTTTTTTCTAGTATTTTAGTACTAAGGCATGAGCTTTCAAAATGACTAGCTTGGGTTCTAATCCAGTATTTTACCATAACACCCAAGAAATCTATTTAATTGTTAATAAAAGTCTGAAGTTGAATTTGGTCTTTTTTGGGTGGTACTAGGGCTTGAACTCAGGGCCTCAAGCTTGCTAGGTAGGTGCTTTACCAGAACCACTTTCTCAACTCTGTTTTGCTTTGTTTTTCATACAGAATCTCAGTATTGCCTATGTTGGCTTCAGACCTTGATCTTCCTACTTACACAATCTCCCTTATAGTTGGAATCATAGGCATGTGTGCCATGTATTACTGAGATGAGGGGTCTCACTGACTTTTTGCCTCCTGAGTAGCTGGGATTACAGGCATGAGCCATAGTGCCTGGTCTGAATTTTTGTCTTATTACCACTTTTTATTTGGAGCCATTTATAAAACCCAAATCACCTAGAGTTCAGTAGTGATTCTGTTTGGCTTGATGTGTAATGACATTGAGTCATTATATTAAGTTTTAGAATTAGAAGTAAGAAGGCAAATTTTGTCTAGTTATGTGCCCTGTAGGGTCAAAAAAAATTGTTCAGAATTTTTTTTTTTTTTTTTTGGCAGTACTGTGGTTTGAATTCAGGGCCTACTTTGAGCCATTACATCAGCCCATTTTTGTGATGGGGTTTTTCGAGAGAGGGTTTTGCAAACTGTTTGCCCAAGCTGGCTTCAAACCTTGATCCTCCTGATCTCTGTCCTGAGTAGCTAGGATTACACACATGAGCCACCAGCATCTGGCTGGTTCAGAGTTTTAAATCTTAATTCTTTTTAGATGACATACCCTTCCAACATATGTCACCTAATGCCCTTGTCAGGCAGAAGTCTATTAATGAATGATTGGCGTATCCTAAGGACCAAGTTGTGCTGTTACTTGTCTATAGAAGTGTTCTTTTTTTTTAGCTGAACATTTCATGTTGTACCTTCTCACTTGCACCTATTCTCCCCTTTTGGGGGAAGGGGCAGTACTGGAGTTTGAGCTCAGGGCTTTGCACTTGCTGGCAGGCAACTACTGTTTGATCCGTGCCTCCAGCCCCCAATTTGCCCTGTCATTTCTCATGTGTATTTAATTCTTAGTACTTTGAGAATCCCTTACTGTGTCCCAAAATAACAGGGAGTATTGTTGTTTTCTCCAAAATGTACATGACAAAGTAAACCAAAAAAATAAGATTACTTTCAGTGATGTGACTGTGGAATGAGATAACTGAAATGATTGAGTCCCCTAATTGAGCGCGTTTTAGGACAGAAAACTTTGCTATAAGGCACAGACATAGGAAGTTTATGTAATGTATAAATAAATGCTAAGTAGGTCCTGTGGTTAAATATTCCCACACTTTCTGTTTTGTGCAGTGATGAACTGTACAAACTACGGAGTGTTTTGTTTTGTTTTGTTTTGTTTTTGGTTGTTATTTTTGTGGGGAGGGTTTGGCGCTGGGGATTGAACTGAAGGCCTCACATGCTGAGCATGCAGTCTACCACTGAGCTACACTCCAGCCTAATCTACATGGCTTATTATACTGTATAGCCTTTCCTTGTAATTTTTTGTGCTGTATTTTCCTATTTTTAATGTAAATGTTCTTTGCTTTTTTATCTATATATTTAAGTCTAGTGATGCGCCATTTTCCCACTGTTTTCTTCCTACACACACACACTTTTCTGATATTGGGACAGAACTTAAAATGTATTTGAGCAATTCTGGTAAGCAGGTACTAAACATGGTGGTGTTCACTGATCTTGCTAATGTACTTGAGCCTGCTATTCATGTAAAATGCAAATGTAGGCCACTACCAAAAGAGGTAGTGTATTTTAGAGAAGACTCTCTTGGTGTATGGCTTTTATTCACAATTTTTCATTGTCTTGTCTCATAGGAGGAGAGCATTCCCATTGCTTTATCTGGTAGGGATATCTTAGCTAGAGCAAAAAATGGAACAGGCAAGAGCGGTGCCTACCTCATTCCCTTACTTGAACGGCTAGACCTGAAGAAGGACAATATTCAAGGTTAGTTGGGGGAAAGTTTGTGCGGGTTTGTTTTAAAGTAAAAGTGGCAGTTTAATCCTTGAAACTGTGTAGAAGATACCTCTCCCCCCCCCCACACACACACACTTTTGGCCATAATTTGCATAATCTGGAGAATTTACAGAATTGTTATATTCTTTTTTTTTCCCCCTTGCAAACTTTGGCCTAATCATCTTGTTAAAATAATGCCTATCTTTTTAAAGAGACTTTACATACCTTTATATAGTAACAGTTATAACAGTATTCTAGTGAGACAGGCAAAATAAGTCTTACTTATCCTGTAGATAGGAAAGCTGTAATCATGAAAGATTAAATTAGTTGACATTGCTTCTTACATAAACTGGAACTGAATTGTTTCTGTGGTAGCTGTGTGTCTGCAGATTTCTCTGTAGAAACATGAACAACTTCTGTTTAAAGGCTTATGGTTTGGGGATTTTAAGAGCTTTGGCAGTGGAGAAGAAATACTTTTCTGTAGGCAAAGTAGTAGAATTAAGATATCACAATTAAAACTTTTCTTAAAATTTCAACTTCGTTGATCTGTAATTATCACTTGTCCTCCATTTAATGTGATGTATGTAGAACCTAGGCAGCAAGAATTTCCTCCTTTGGTGTTTAGTGAATCTATTACTGTCAGACTCTTAGAAATATTAAAGCTAATGTGTCTATTAGAAATACGATGAATAGACTTCTCTACACATCTCATCTATTTTACAAGAAGCAATCTTTTTATAGTTTTTTTTAAACTTGTAAAATAAGACTTTGTTTTTCCTCTCCCCTCCATTTTCCAGCAATGGTGATTGTTCCCACTAGAGAACTTGCTCTACAGGTCAGTCAAATTTGCATCCAGGTCAGCAAACACATGGGAGGGGCCAAAGTGATGGCAACCACAGGAGGAACCAATTTACGGGATGACATAATGAGGCTTGATGATACAGGTAGGAAATGATTAATAGACGGTAGCATTGCTCCCTGGCTATAATTTTAGTCACAGTTTCTTTGTTTCAGTAAATTAGTAAAAGTTGTTTTTAACAATTAAGGAACATAGCCAGGTATCAGTGGCTCATGCTTGTAATGCTGGCTACTTGGGAGGCACAGATTGGAAGGGTTAAAGTTGGAGGCCAGCCCAGGTAAATAGTTTGAGAAACTCCCATCTCAAAAATAACCAGAGCAAAATGAACTGGGGATGTGTCTCAAGTGGAAGAGCACTTGTTTTGCAAGTTCAGAGCCCTGAGTTCAATTTCGAGTCCCACCAAAAGAAGGAACAGTCAGGTACTGTGTCTTATGCCTGTAATTACTGCTATTTGGGAGACAGATCAGGAGGATCAGAGTTTGAGGCCAGCACAGGAAGAAAGTTTGTAAGACATCAGGCACCAGTGACTCATGCCCATAATCTTAGCTACTCAGGAGGCAGAGATCAGGAGGATCATGATTCAATGCCATTCTGAGCAAATAGCTCGCGAGACCCTGTCTCGAAAAAAAATTTTCATCAAAAAGGGCTGATGGAGTGGCTCAGGGCATAGGCCCTGAGCTCAAACTCCAGTACCACAAAAAAAAGAGTATGAGGCCCTCCCCCTGCAATCTCAGTTAGTAAAAAATCTGAGTGTGGGGCACAGTGCCTATTATCCCAGCTATGCATATGCAGGAATCCTGAGGATTGTGGTCTAGGCTGCCCCGGGCATAAAGAGATCTTAATGTGACAACCAAAGTAAAAAGGGCTGAGGGTATGGCTTAAGAGGTAGCACACCTACTTATCAAGCATTAGGCTCTGAGTTCAAGTCATAATTCCCCCCATTAAATAAAAAGAAAAAAATCCAGGCATGGTGGTATATACCTATAATCCCAAACTACATTTGAGGTAGAAGGATCTCTGTCTAACACCAGCTCCTGACAAAAACAAGACCCTATCTGCAGAATAACTAAAAACCAAAAGGAATGAGACGTGGCTCAAGTGGTAGAGTGCTGTCCTAGGTAGTGCAAGGTCCTGAATTCAAACCTTGATAGTGCCCACTCTAAAAAACATAACTAAGGAACAGGACATTGCAGTAGAAAAATTAATAATGGAAATTCCAATTCATTCAGGAAAAATGAATTGTTTATTCAGTCTTACTAATATTTTTTAATGTAACTGAAAATGCCAAATTTATATCAATTATTTTGTCCAATTTGCAATCAAATATTAGTTATCAATATGACTTTGTGGAAAATAGGCTTTCTTACAACATAGTATAAGCTGATCTGTGTTGTGGGCAATTTGGCAGTATATTTTCAGGAATTTTTCCTGCAGAAGTAATTGGTAAATATAAGGCTTATATACAGGATCATTTACTGGCTGTGGTTTGTAGTACTGAAAAAATTGAATCAATTTAAACATCTCAGGAGATGCTATACGTTCAGGTATTGTATGAATGGACTTGAACAGAGACATAAAAGAATGAAGCTGATTTGTATTTATTTTATGAAGAGCTCTCCATGGTGCAGTACTGAGTGAACCATAAGAATGAGATCACATGTAAAATTACATAAGTTTTAGAATTTCATAAATGTCATTTGGTTACTTTAATTGATACAGTGTTTGTACTGCACATTTTTTAAAGTGATTATTTTATTTTGTCCCTACGACAATCTCTTGAACAACACTGCTCTAAACTGAAGGCATGTCTACTGTGCCAGAAGCCTGGTGTACCTTCTGTTATTTATTACATTAGGACAAGAATGTATGCTTCTTACTTGGAGTAGCCCACCCAATGTAGAGGTGAAAAAAAAAAAAATAGTATTCTCTGGCTATCTAGCGGTAAAATGGAAATATGTAACCTAAAACTGTCTTCGTGCCTTTTATATCATTCTTATCTCTACAGTGATATCTGAATAAAAACAAATGTTATAAATATTTACAAATCTTTTTTATCCAAGCTAACAGTAATGTTTTCTGAATCTTGTGTAGTACATGTGGTCATCGCTACCCCTGGCAGAATCCTGGATCTTATCAAGAAAGGAGTAGCAAAGGTTGATCATGTCCAGATGATAGTATTGGATGAGGTAATGTTTCTTCATTGACAAAGATGCTGTTTTGACTATTCTGTGCTTTTATACTTTACAGTGAATAATTAAAAGCTGTTTGTGTTTATGATTATATAATAAACACTGGACAATTTAAGAAAATTTGTTTCTAAAAACATGTTTATCTTTCAAGGATAACAGATGATAGGTATTCACAGGAGTTCAGCCTCTTATGGATACCAGATATTTAGATTTTATTTTTATTTATTTTATTGTTTTTACATTTACTCACGTGTATACATTGTTTGGGCCACTGCGTGCTGCCCCCCCCCACCCTGCCATTTTTAGTTTTTAAAAGAGAAGTTACTGAATAACCTCAAAGCCAAGGCAGTTCTAAGTCTTTGTATATTCAGTGATACATTTTAAAAAACATGTATGTTTTTTAACCCTTTATTTTGTGTATACTACTTTGTATCACTTGTTTATTGGTATCTGTTATATGTATATCTCATCAGGTTATAAGTGCCTTTTAAGAACTTTACCTCTGGGGTCTAGCAGTGTTTTATATATGTAGCATGTCAGTGGTGTTAATGTTTTGGCTAACAGTTACTTTCCCATATGGCTTATGTTTAGATAACTAGTCATTGATTGATCATATTTACTGAGTAATGAAAGGGTAGCATTTTAAAAACACCATGTCACTAAGTTCTTTACATGTGTTTTCATTTAATTTTTACAACAATTCAGTAAGGTACAAATATGCTATAAAAGTTATTACAATATGTAGATAACCAGTTGTGGAAATTGAGGTACAGAGTGGTTAAGAAGTGTCCCAACACAACAAACAAATAAAAGACAACATTTTAACCCACAAAGTTTGACTCCAAAGCCTGTATTTTAACTATTACACCTTACTACCTTTATGGAAATCATTTAAATTCTGTTAATGGGCACAAGACTCATCAGTCTATGATTTTTTTTTTTTTTTCTTAGCCCTTTCCCTTTCGAATCACTGGCAAGTTCTCTTGGCGCCATTGAACTCTATGCATTGTTGGAGAGTTACTGTTTATAACCAGGAACATTTCATGGATATTTTTGTCTGATTATGCTTTATCCTTTGTGCATTTGCCAAAGACTTTAGATGTTGTTTCATTATTGTAAAAATTGTATTTTCTTTACTGCAGGCAGATAAATTGCTGTCACAGGATTTTGTGCAGATAATGGAAGATATTATTCTCACGCTACCTAAAAACAGGCAGATTTTACTGTATTCCGCTACTTTCCCTCTCAGTGTGCAGAAGTTCATGGTGAGTGTAAACCTGTGCTTGCAGTGTGTGTTTGTCCACAGCTTCATCTCATTATCAGAGGGCGTGAGTGTGCCTTATGTTGATTCAAAACTCTCATCTTTCCAGTTGATCAATTAAGATTTGTGCATGCATACAGATTTTTTTAAAACTATAATAATCATTTGATTAAAGTCTTCATTTTTACTTACCTCTTGGTGTCAGGCTGACATTTACCATTGCTGCTAGGTAAATTGGTTACAACATTATCCCATACAAAACACAAAATAATAACTTAGCTACATGTCTGAATCTTGGGTAATTTTTTCTTTACCATGTAGTTGTTTTAAAGAGAGATGCAAAAGTGTATATATTTTGAATTTAAGAGGAACAACTGTGATTTAACTTTTTTTTCCTTCAGAATTCCCATTTGCAGAAACCCTATGAGATTAACCTGATGGAGGAACTAACTCTGAAGGGAGTAACCCAGTACTACGCATATGTAACTGAGCGCCAAAAAGTACACTGCCTCAATACACTTTTCTCTAGGGTAAGTAGTGTAGTGGGTTTCTGCTACTGACTATTACCCATCACCTGTTCCCAGGAAAGCAAATAATTGCATCCATTTTCCCATCATCTTCACTGTGAAAGTCCTGGTATTTCCTGAAAGGCAGTTTCAGTTGATCTGAAGTTAAAACTATGGTTGACACAGGCACTTTAATTATATTCTAAATAATTAGACCCTAATTACAATTGATTCTTAGTCTTTACAGATAAGAATTTTCCTACTTGATAAAATTTACTTGAACTCCAAAATCAATATTCAATGCAGTCTGACCTCATGGTCATTTTGTACAGTCAGTACAATCTACAAAAAAATTTGGCTTGCCAGGCGTGTACTTTCCCAGCTGAGGTCAAAGTTATTAACACCCTGCCTTCTTGTTTGAGCTCTCATGTTGCAAACAAATGTCCTTTTCACGTTTCTTTTAGCAATAATCGCGCCTCGGATAAACTTCATTGGCTACGATACTGCTAGCGCGCAAAGCTATTCACACTTCTTGTTCACACTTTTAGTGCTACATTTTTCTTTTTGCTTTTGTTGATATTTCTCTGTTCAAAACAGCCCTTCCACTAGTGCTAAAGTGTTGCTCTGTCCTCAGAAACACACAAAGGTTAATGTTCCTTGCAGAGAAATTGTTGGATAAGCTTTTTGCAAGCATGACTTACAACAGTTTTGGCTCTGAATGTACTGAATAAGATATTCTTAAATAGAAACGCATAAAACGAGGTTATAGATTGATCTTTTGATAAAGACGGTGTGACCAAAGTCTCGCAGGAACCTAATTCTGTATTTACCCTAGAAGCAATGGTTCTGTATTTGCTAATTCAATGTTTGCATTGCAGGGACTTTGTAGAACATAATTAACCATAAATAATGAGACATCAACTATATTTTATTCTTCTTGGCAGTTATGTGGCCATTATGAAATACTTTCTACAATAAAACATAAATTACTATCTACAACTATTAGTAAACCAAAAATAATGTACAATTTTTCAACTTTACATTTTCTACCATGAGGTTCTGAATTTTAGGCCATGTTTTTAACTTACTGTTTGCCAGCTGTTAACTTCAAGATTTGGCAAAACAAATGAAGGTTTTTGTTTTTCTTTCTTATGCCTATTTTTTTCTGTGTTCAGCTTCAGATAAACCAGTCGATCATTTTCTGTAACTCTTCTCAGCGAGTTGAATTGTTAGCCAAGAAGATTTCTCAGCTGGGTTACTCTTGCTTCTATATCCATGCTAAAATGAGGCAGGTGAGTGTAAAATGAGAACTCAGATACAGCAAAAAAAAAAAAAAAGAAAAAAAAGAAAAATTTGTATTTGTCAAGTTTTGTTTTGTTTTAATGCTCCTCTGAAACTTCCTGCTTAAAAATAAACTACTCTTGGCTCTGTGGTGTAGCAAGGCTCTGGGTTCAATCCCCAGCATCAGGAATGGGCTGGGTGGGGAGATACAATGTTCTTTAGTAGACAAAGGACCCTTCATTTTAAATTCCTGAGGCTTAACTTTTTAAAAATAAAATAAGGGTAATATTGCATTGTTAGGAATGTTGTACGAGGTGGTTCAGAATACAGTGTAGTACAGAGTTATTGGGAATATTGAGAATAATGTATGAATGAGTATTTGTAAGCTGTCAAGCATGATGCAAAAGGAAAATTTTATTCTTTCTTTCACAGGTAATTGCTAGATATATACTGTTTAATACAAAATCCACTAGCCATATGTGGCAATTTAAATTACTTAAAATGAAATTTTAAAATTTAGCTCCTCAGTCATATTAGCCACATTTCAAGTCTTCCATTTGCTGCTTGTGACTAGTGACTTCTGTAATGGAGAATACAGCTGCAGAACATTCCCTTGATTACAGGAAGCACTACTCTAGATCATCTAAGGGGAATATATCCCAAGATCCCCAGTGAATGCCTGAAATTTGCAGCTAGTACCAAATGCTGTGTATACGCTTTTTCTTATATACTTCCTGTGATAAAAGTTCATTTATAAAGTAGACACAATAAGAGATCTAATAACAGTAATAAAATAGAGTAATTATAACATTAACAATAAACAGCTTATATGAATATGATCTCTCTCAAAATACCTTGTACTATATTTACCTTGTGATTACGGATGTTGATACAAGGCCATGTGATGAAGTGAAGTGAGATGAATCACGTAGACATTGAGTGGTGTAGCTTTTAGCTACTACATAAGGGTTACTTGAACACAAGCACTGCAGTACCATGACAATTCATCTTATAAAACTAAGGCAGCTCTGGTGTGTAGTGTGTATGCAGTGTAGATACACTGGACAGAGGATGATTCACATCCCAGATAGAATGGTGTAAGATTTCATCACACTTCTTAGAAGGATGCAGAACTTAAAACTTACACGAGTTTATTTCTGGAGTTTTCTATTTAATGTTTCACACCAAGGTGTTCTATGAGTAATTGAAACTCTGGAAATCCAAACCAAGGATAGGCTGAATTACTACTTAAGGCCCCTGAACTAACAGATCTTTTTCTTCAGTATCTGCCTTAAAGAGTGCAATCCCTAAGTTTCACAATTTGATTTAATAGAAAATAATTCAAAGCTACAACACGACTGGATTTTTTGGTGATAACTACAACATTGTGAAATTTCATAATAAAAGTACAGTTTCTGAGTTGAGTGTGGTAGTATATATCTGTAATCCCAGTATTTAGGAGCCTGAGAGAAGAGGACAGTAAATTCTAGGTCATCCTGGCCTACTAAGTTAGGACATGTGCAGTGTGGCAAAAATTTGACTCAGCTAATAAGTATTATACCCCTTCGTACAGAGGTCAAAGAAGATGACTGCCTAAAAACACTTTCAGTGAACATTAAGCACTTAAAATTTGGTTTTGAAAGAAGCTTAATGTCATAGATGATTTGTAGAAACTGATTTTGGGTATAAAGAAATGACTGAATAGGAGAAACAATAATGAAAATTTTTGACTGTATCAATTTTTTGGGGGGTTGGGTCTCCCCTTTGTGTATCAGTTTTAACCAAATGGAGCATATTGAATTATTTTCCCTAGGAACATCGAAATCGTGTGTTTCATGATTTCCGAAATGGCTTATGCCGCAATCTTGTTTGCACTGGTAAGTAGTTTTGTATTTCTTTCACCCACTGTCTTCCTCTTAGTTCTGGATTGCTTTTTCTTATCTCACACAGTGTAGCCTAGACATTGTCCAGCACACCCTACTACTCTTTCAGAATTTCTGAAGTTGAGAATGAATTCTAGTCTGTATTTTGGGTTATTTGCTGCATATAGAGAAACAAACTAGGGGACAGGTGGATGATCACATCAGACAAAGCAAATAAATTCAGTAACCTGTCATCTCTGTACTTGGAATCTAATCTTAATATTATATGAGGTTAATAATCTAAGCTGATGGGTAAATAGAAGAACTTAGAGTATTAAGTGAGATATATGTATATAGATATGCTAATCTCAAGTATGTTATTTGATGAATTTTTGCATAGGTATGCATCCATATAACCAGTACCCAGACCAAGATGTGGAATTTTCAAGGTCTGGGTTTTTATAAAGACACTGTTCTAGAAATAAACTCCAACATTTTCCTATTAAAATATTAAATTTGGTAATTTATAACAATCAAGAAAATGGCTATAAAATATCTTGCATTCTTCTAGATTAGCTTGTTTCTCTGTCTTACATCTGAAAGGACAATTGAGCTATAAATTAATACGTTTATGCTTATTTTATCAGCATATTTCTTTTAAGTACCTAAAGTATAGAATATCTGATCTAGTGGAAA